TAAAGCTTAAGAAAAGATACCCATACTAAAAAATAAATAAAAAATCTTTGTTGGTAACCAGGGGTGGGAGGGAAGGGATGGTAGAACACAGGGTAGGGGATAGTGACATCATAACTCGGGTGTTGGGGAGGGCAATACAAAAGAAGGGGAAGAGGAGTGGAAGAACAAGGTAGATAGGGGACCACTTAGGTAGGCTTGCATGGACCACTCAGGTAGGCTTGCAGAGATAAATAGTGATGTATGCTCAACCTTGGAACAACAGGACTCTGGAAGACAGGGATTGAGGTATAGTCTGAATGGTTAAAAGAGGGGAAATAATGTTAAGATGCTTCACTGTGTTATGGATACTGGTTTCCCTTGCCTACTATTGTAAAATAGACATGTGGGTGGGACAGAAAGGAATATCAGGAAACATGATTACAGAAAGCTTGTAAGTCCAACTTCAGCCTATAACTGACTGGAATACCTAAAAGGGGTTCTAGAACTTGCCCAGTGATATATGCTTCTTGCGGAGCCTTTGTAGTGTACAGGACCTTAGGTAGAATCCTGTGTCCCATCCAGAAACTTCTGAGGTGGGACATTCCCACTTGAAAGGACATGCAGACCAGTCTGGAGCAGCTACAGGAACAGAAGATACTTCTTGAAATAAAGACTAGCAGGAAAAAACAAAAACAGCAGTTTGTTTGGCTATTACAAGAACAATGAAGCTGTTCCCTGGGGAGTCATCAAGGCAAGTACTCAAGTCCCTTCAGGACAAAGCCAGTTCCAAGACTGAAACTCAAAGGGAAAACAGAAACAAGCATCTAAGCTTGCTGTTGATCATACTGATCTACAAGTGAATGGAAGTAGGGTTAAGGCTGCAATGAAAATATGGGCTAGGTGAAACCACATTCCATACATTCCTGTTGACCTGGAGATTTGAGAGAGAAGAGGAAGGGCTGGTTGGTGTGAAGTTTACCGGAGCCTTGGGAACTCCTGAGCCCATGGACAATGACCTAGCTGAAAGTAAAGCGTCCAGCTGACATGAAGTGGGGGGTGATGCACAAGAACACCCAAACTTGCAGATAGTACCCATGTGACCTAGTTTCTATGGCTTGATGATTAGAACTCGAATGCTGTTGTTAAGTGCTGTTGAGTTGATTCCGACCCATAGCAACCCTGAATAGGTTTCCAAGGAGCAGCTAGAGAACTTGAATAGAGGAAGATAAATTTGATAAAGGAAATAAGTGTAAATTGCTACAATTTGATGAACTTGACCTATATTTATGGATGTAGTAGATCAAAATACCAACTGAGAGGGAAGGACTCTTCACATCAAGGATCAAACCTATCCTCTGTATACAGGGTTGATAGGGACGGGCAACTTAGGCATTGGTACCTATTTGAAACAAATATGTCTTATGTCTTGTCTTGTGTTTTTGTCTCAATAACTCTAGACCAAACACATCTCGAAAATAGTGTTATTCCTTTAAAAAAAAAACAACAACAACAGAAAACCCACTAGTTTTTGGAAAATGGACCTAGTATTTAAGTATGTTTAAATTACCCAAGAATTGTTTCTTCATTTGTTGTAATTTCTCATCTGTACTCTGCTACTTAAATCTCTAAATTCTGAGCTGTCTCTGGTCTGCAAGTGTGACAGTGTTTGAGTAAAACTGGAAAACGTCAGCTGTGGTACAGCTATGTCATAGTATGAGAAACAGAAAAGATTAGAGAATCAAATAAGGAGGTAGAGTATGTCACTCTTCGGTATCATAACTTGAAGCACTGCTGCCTAAAAACATTGTTATAAAAGCAATTAAAGGCAGTCCATTTCAAAGTGGAACACAGCATTGTTTCAGCCCTGAAAAGCATGAACAAAGGTTTCTGTTCTTTTCCAGCTATAATTGTCTAAGCACAAACACTGTGTTTCAGTAAAAATATTGCCATGGGATTAAAAAATTTTGTTTAACATTGCTTACTCCTGAATTACAGATAGTGTAATTTAGCTACTGTTTTGTGTTGACAATATTGCTTTATACAGTTATTGTATTGAAGGGAGTCTAATCCTTTCAAATAAACGTATATATTGTTCTTACAGGACTATTTCAGTGGTGTAAATAATAAATACCTTTTCTTTAAAAAAAAAAAAAAAAAAAGTTAATTAATTTTAAGAGAGTTTAAATCCTGGTTCTACCACTTCCCAGGAATAGGACCTTGAACTAACTCCTTAACTCCCCTAATCTACTGTATCCTTCCCTGGCAGTCTGCTTCACACAGATGACAACCTTGGAAACCCTGTGCGGTCCTTTTGGTCTGTCCTGCAGGGTCATTATGAGTCAGAAGCAACGGGTTTTTTTGTTTTGTTGAAGTGCAATGGACAAGCTAGACTGAAGTGAGGTGATTTTAGGGAGACATATCAGTAGTCCTGGTGTGGCACTGTAGAATAAGCACTCGACCACAAGGTTGGTTTGAACCTCGGAAATCCTATACAGGGTCACTATGGGTTGGAACCAACTCAATGGCACTTAACAACCTGGAGACAAGTCACCTGGAGAGTAAAAGCAGTGTTCCCCATGGGCTTGTAGATGAGACTGAGACTCAGTAGGGAATTGCACGAAGTCAATATTTATACTGGAGGACTTCCAGAAAGCTAGAAGCTGTGATGCATGTAATGGGGTGAACAGTTAACAAAAGCCGACTACCATCCAGGCACTGTGGGAGATGCTACGGTAGGACCCAAGAGACACAAGGGACTTCAAATAGTTCACTGAAAAATTCTATTATCTTTTAATTCCATTAAAAATGTCTTAAGGCCTGCTGCTCCAATCCTCACACCAGTCCAGCTGCAGTGGAGCTATGCCGCATGGAGACACTATGTGTGTCAGTGCAGAACTGGTCTCCACAGAGTTACCAATGGCTGATTTCCTCCAGAAACAGATGCCAGACTTGTATTCGGAAGTACTTCTGGAAAGACTTGAACTTCCAGCCTTTCGGTTAGCAGCCAAGAGCTCTAGTCAGGACAAATGTCAATAAGCAGATGACACTAATATTATGGCTATAGAACTGGTTACTAACATTTATTAAGAGCTCATGATAGCTTCTGAAGTATCCCAAGTTCCTACTACAAGTATTATCCCCATCTTACAAAAGAAAAAATGGAAATGCAGGGAAATGAAATCACTTGCTTTGGTTCCAACAAGAAGCAAGTGGAGAAGAAATGTGTGACAGTCTAGTGGAAGCAACAGATTACAATCAAGTGACAAACAAAAAGAGATCCCTTATAATTACAATTTGTAATGACCAAATCAAACCCACTGCCATTGAATCAATTTGACTAAGGGCAACCCTGTAGGCTAGAACAGTTACTTCATAGGGTTTCCAAGAGTGTCCACCTTTACAGGAGCAGACTGCACACCTTTACTTTGACTGACTCCAGTGTGCATGGAAATGTTCAGAATACAGGACAGCTGACTGGAAACCCAGTGGAACAGAATTCACTAAATGAGTAAGATTATTCCCATTAATATTTGCATGTCGCAATACCCTATTATCTAATAACAAACAAATCTCTCTTTGTAGTACAGAATGTTCTTTAGAAACAAAGACAGAGAGACAAAGTCTCATGTGTCTAGTTAACAGGAGGGACCAGTCCCTTGGAATTACGCTTGGCACAGTGAGGATGGCCCTCAAAGAGAGGAGCTTACACAGTTGCTACAAGGATGGACAACAGGGTTGGCACAGAACCAGGCTGCGTTGCATTCTGCTGTGATGGGGTCACTGTTCTGTTGTACAAAGGGAAATGATTCAACAGCACCAAGCAACACCACCAAGAGTGGACTGCAGAGTAGGGAGCCATGGTGCTCAATGACAGAGACCCGGGCTTGATTCCTGATCCATGAATACCCTCCCCCATCTGTCAGCGGAAGTTTGTGAGTTACTACGATGCTCAATGGGTTTTAGCATAACTTCCAGACTAAGACAGATGAGGAAAAAAGGACTGGAGAAATACTTCCAAATGCCAGTCAATGAAAAACCCTACAGCTCACAGTGATCTGCTCCTCAACAAATCCTGGGGATGGCGCAGTACCAGGCAGCACGTCCACCTGTTGTTGTACACGTGCCTCGCCATGAGTCACGAGTTAACATGACAACATAACATGACAGCAGCTAAAAACAACCCACAAGAGGGTAGGAGACCTAGACGAGCAAAACCAAAGACTATAAGATAAAACCGAGAATATCCTGAAACAAGGCAACACAAAGACAAATGTGGACCACAGTAAAATCTGACATAAAATCTCTAAGAGGTAATGCTCAGTTCTCAATGCATACGTAACATAGTGACATAAAGCATTAACATGAAGAAGAGTTCACTTTGGAATCAAAATGAGTTTCTATTCAATAGCGCTGTCCTATTGCAAGTTCACCTAAGCAACAACATTAATCCTCAAACGATTGATTTTACACTTACTAAAACACCTCTTTTTTTTTTTTTTTAAACTTTAATCAATAAAATGTAGTTGTTCCCTTAATGAGTTAGTGACACTATTAAAAAAGATATATATTTATATAAATGGAGATTGGCTAAACTGCAAATAAATGAATTTACATAGAATTTTTTGCTAGAATTTTACTGCTCACAGTATTATATCTCTTCATAGCTGATGGGAAAATTTCTCACCAACATTCAATTATTGTTACAAACACAACTTAAACCACACACCAAACCAAAGCCAGCCTATTGCTGACAGCTCAATGCCAAGTCCCAGTAACTCTGAAGGACAGGGTAGACCTGCCCATAGAATTTCCAGGGCTCATTTTTAAGGCAGGAGATTGCCGATCTTTCTCCCACAAAGCAGATGGTGTTTTAGAACCAGTGACCCTTGCAGTTAGCAGCTGAACCCTTTGATCACTGCGCCACCAGGGCTGCATGTGACAAATGCAGTTCAGAGACTGGCAGAGTGGGCAGTGGAAGGAAGGTCAGCTGAGAGCAATACTGATAAAAGAGCTTCACTTACGGCTATTTCTCTACACGCCGACATTGAGATCCCAGTTCCTTCTATCTGTTTTAAAGCGTAGTCCTTATCGTCTTTCCTGGAAAAACAGAGCGAGGTTAATATGCTTATGTGAATTTTTATCGAAGCACAATATAAATCACACAATCAGTATACAATCTGACACTTTTCACATGCTGTTATACTGTGTCATCCAGGTTGTAGGGAAGCAAAGTCTAACTTCATTCCTAGATACACGAGGAAACTCCCGTTCCAGGGGACATGGAGCTGTCCAAGGTACCAGCGCTGTTGGTGGGAGATCAGGATTCACAGACAGCACTCTTCACGCCCAGTCACAGGCCCTTTCTGCTGTCATACCAGAGGCTTCGGAAATTTTATGGATACATGCCGTTATCATTAGTTCCATTCTTCCACAAACTTTTGAAGCCCCTGGTATGTGTACTCTTCCAGTGTCTGTGTGTGCAGAAAGAAACATGCACACTGTGCTATAATGTAAACTCTGCTTTCTGAAAACCAGTCAGATGTTGGTTCAAAAAAAGTTAAGAAATGAATGCATCTCTAAAGCACAAAATGGTTAACACTTCTTACATCATAATCTACACTGAATAATTTAGAATACAACAACAAAGAAAAACCAAACCCATTGCTGTGGAATAGAGTCTGAATTCATAGCAAGCCTACAGGACAAAACAGACCTGCCCCTACGCAGCCCCCCTTACCCCCCAGGTGCTGCCCAATTGTCATCTTTACAGACAGACTCCCACATCATGACTCCCACAGAGTGGCTGCTCAGCTCAAACCACTGACCCCAGGGCTCCTCACAGTAGGTCACCCCCTGAATATTTTCTAAGAGATTCATCCAACATGTGCTTACTGACCATGCATGTGGCACTGCTAGATAAGCAATGGACCGTAAAGTCAGTCTGAACCACAAGGTCAGCAGTTCAAGGTCATCGGCTACTCCTCAGAAACCCTATACAGGGTTTAAGTTGGAACCTTCTCGACAGCGCTTAACAACAACAATAACAATTTATCCAGAGGAGTCCCAGTGCAGCTCTGTAGGATAAGCACTGGACTACTAATCCCAAAGTCAGCCGTTCAAACCCTCCAGACCAACTGCTCCATGGAAACCCAATTATACAAGGCCGCTATGAGCTGGAACTAACTCAGCATTTAACAACAATGATGTGCCCAGAACTATGCTAAGTCCCAGGGATATAACTGGGTTCCTTCTCTTATGGGGTTTTCTGTGCCTACTGGATAAACTTCTTCATCGTAACATAGTTGGTTCTATGATAGGGCAGGCATGCACCCCAGAGAACCATGGTGAAGACTTCCCAGGGGCTATGTTTCTAACTGAGACCTAAATGGCAGTTCTCTAACTCCAGGGCTCAGAGCCCCTTCGCCCTCCTAGACCATTACCAAGGACCCCGAAGAACTGTTGTTTGTGTGGGTTACATCTATCAACAATTACCCCACAAGAATTCAGAAATGGGAAACTCTGAAGCTCAGACTACTCAGCACGTACCCATCAGATACCGAGAGCAGTGGGTTCGCCACACAGAGCGCTGGGTCTGAGCTCACCATGCATGTGCCTGCGACTGAGAGGGGCCAGAACCAGGATGCCACCCCATCTGGACAGAACTCAGTTTGTGGTTCGATTTTCAGACAAAGGGGAACAAACCCACTAGGGAGGTCCACACACCTCACAGAGCAGCGCTGACCCCAGGTCAGAGTTCTGAGGGTAAGGGAAGGAGAAGGAATGGAAACGGAAAACCCCAGGGGGATGTGCGATGACTGCAGTCACTGAGCTGAAATAAAAGGTGTGTAAATTATTGAGTGGAAAACTGGTCTGCTCTGAAAGTCTTCCCCCAACTCCCAACAGATAAAAGTGCTGATCTTGCAGCCCCTCTGAGAGGAACTCAGGGATACCAGGGGTACCCAAATTATACTTTGAGAACTGTCAATGTGGGTGGGTGGGTGTGGAAGACAGAACTAAGAAGGGCAGCCCAATGGAAGGCAGGTGACGTGGGAGGAGGAGAAGCATATGAGGGAGACTAGAGTAGACAACTGGAGATGGGCTCAGCGGTATCACTGTGAACTCGAGGATCATGATCCTGTTTCCAAGAACTGCATGAAAGGATTTTAACAAAACAATGTCAACTAGAGTGTATTTAGGGACAAACACCTTTGGTTGTCTTGTGAATGAGGATTTAGGCAGAATAAAAAAGGGCCAGAGGCAGAGAGGCCACTGAAATTTAGTGTTGCAATTATTCAGCTATTGCAGAAAGGTGAAGAATGGGTGTTGGAGAGGGAGGAGTAAAGGTAATGATGGCTGGCAGGGGCAAGAGGTTAACGGTGAGTAGTCACTGATATAAACAGCAAGCAGGGGACAGCGGTGGGGAGGGATGAAAACCATAGCTCTGCTTGGTGATGGTTGAATTTGCAGTATTGTGAGATCCCAAGTTGAAAGAGTGTGTGGAGCTCAGGGGTGGTCATGCAGTGAATGCCTTCGGAGGGCTCTTCTAGGCACAGTCTTTGTACCTCCCACTGACTTATTTTCCTGGTGGGTCTGGGTAAGAGAAGGTGGGAAAAGATGCTAGAAGGATTATGTAAAGGAGCTGGGGTAGCATAGTGGTTACGAGTCGGGCTGCTAACCTCAAGGTCAGCAGTTCAAAACTACCAGCTGTTCCACAGGAGAAAGATGAGGTTTTCTGCTCCCATGAAGATTTACAGCCTCGGAAACCCTATGGAGGGTCACTACACATCGGAGCTGACTCTCCAGCACACCACCACCACCACTAGGATTACATGATTCCGTTCTGAATGGCTGTTAACAGAGTTCATTGTGATTGTTGTTGTTGTTGTTGTTACGTACCGTGGAGTCGGTTCTGATTCATAGCGACCCTGCACAGGGTTTCCAAGGCTGTAAATCTTTATGGGAGCAGAAAGCCTCATCTTTCCCCCATGGAACAGCTGGTAGTTTCGAACTGCCAACGTTGGGGTTAGCAGCCCGATTTGTAACCACTACGCTACCAGAGCTCCTTAACTGTGATTATAAGCACATGGAAATCTAACGTGGGTCTGTAAACAAGTCATCTCAGAAACTTGTTTACAAGTTTCTCAGGGGGACCTCACTACCATCAAAGAGGAGGCAGGAGTGGCGCATGTCCTTTGGACTCCAAGACCCCTACACACACAGACCCTCCTCAGACCAGGGACAGAAAGCATGCAGAACCGCGAGCCCAAGCACCAGACAGAGCAGGGCTGCTTGGTCCATGGAGCAAGTAAAGCTGAGCACCTTCGCCCTGAGGCTTACAGAGCAGTGCTAAAAGAGCTGTGTGACACTGCTGGAGCAGGGCAGAGACCAGAGGGCCCGTGCCTAAGAAAGAGGACAAGGACAGGAGCAAGGTCCGAAGGCATGACTGGCAAGAGGCTGTCCTGACTGAAGTGGGACCTAAGCATTTCTAATCCTGCCCTAGTAAACCCCACAACTGTTGAATATGGTGTCTGAGTTCTGAGGGGCCACCACAATTAATTCTTCAACCCAATTGAGAAGAGAGTGCAGCGGAAGGGACTGACGGAAGGCAGAAGGCTGATGACACATCTGGCCCCAGCCCCACTGGAACTGGCTGTGGACTGAGGCTGAGCTTCATTCTCCTTTCCCTGTGAGAAGTTACAGGAGGTCAGATGTTGTCTGCCAGGCCTTAGTGAGTGACATCAGCCCACACACCATAACTGATGCACGAGAGTAGATGGCATGAGATAGAAGGGAAAAAATCGTGAGAAAAGGATTTTCAAAATGGACAGAACTGTAAAGACGACTGGGCTTCTTTGAAAGTCTGTGGAAAGACTCCAGCGTCTTAATTCCATTTTCCACAAACTTTGTGAGCCCCTCGTGGTGCCTAAACTTTATAGTGTTCACTGGATTTAGCAAAGACGAAGGAACCAGAGGACCATAAACTAGGCAAGGTCTCTACTACACAAGGCTGAGCAATGCGTGGGATATAAATGCAGTAAATAACTATGGTGGTGGCAACAGTTAATGGCTGGCTGCTAAAAGTTGGCAGTTTGGATCTAACCAGTGATTGTGCACGAGAATGATCTGGCGACCTGCTTCTGTCAAGATGACAGTTTTCACTCTGTCACATGGGGTCACTCATTCTGAGTGGAAACAATATCAATTCTTTCAGGGGAGAAAATCTGGGAGTGGTTGAAGGAAGCTTTAAGGCTAATGGATTATTTTTTTTTTATTATTTAGAAGAGACTGAAGTATGTACTGACAAGACTAGCTCAGAGGAAAGGAGCTGCTGATACAGGAGAGACTGAGAAAATTAAAAGAGCAAAAACCCTGAGACACTGTGAAGAAATCTGATTCCGAACCAGGAGAATCACGTTTCCATTGTAACAGGAAGAAGAAAGCTGTAGGATGGATGTAGGTGGAAAGAAGATGACAGGTTCAGAGACACAGAGCTGAGGGAGGGCGTTCTCATTTTGAGGGCTTCGTTATTCCTTCCAGAAGTTAGAGAAGAGGTCATAATTTATTAGTAAAGGGCAGAGGGGGCTGTAGAATTGTTCTTCTCCAGGGACTGGTCCCTTCTGATATTATGCCCAAAGTACATGCGACAAAGTCTCACCATCCTGGCTTCTAAGGAGCATTCTGACTATACTTCTTCAAAGGCAGATGTGTTCATTCTTCTGGCTGGTATATCCAACATTCTCTGCCAACACCACAGTTCGAAATCATCATTTTTCCTTTATTCTTCCTATTCCTTATCCTGCTTTCACATGCATGGGAAACAACTGAAAATACCATGAGTTGGGTCAGATGCACCTTTGTCTTCAAAGTTACATCTTTGCTTTAAAGAGATCTTTAGCAACAGCTCTGCTCCGTGTGATAAGTTGTTTGACTTCCTGACTGAAGCTTCCATGGGTAGTGTGTGTAGACCCAGTGAAATGATATCCTTCACAACTACAATCGTTTCTCCATTTATCCTGAGGTTGCTTATTGACCCAGTTGTGTGGATTCTTGTTTGAGGTTGTGGCGTAGTCCATGCTGAAGGTGGTAGTCTTTGATCT